AAACTGTATCCAAGAAGGTTTAATACCGACAAAATATTATGAAAAAACCCTAGAAAAAGTAACTAGTGCAAATGGATCAAAAATGCATATACAGTATAAATTATCAAATGTAAAAATATGTAAGAATAAAGTTTGTTATAATATCTCTTTTGTATTAATAAAAAATATGAATACACCTGTAATATTAGGAACTCCATATCTAACATTATTATATCCTTTTCGAGTAACTGAATTAGGTTTAAAAACTAGTATTCTAGATAAAGAAATTTGTTTTGAATTTATAAAACCTCCAAAAACTAGAGAATTAAATTTATTAAAAGAATCTTCTATAAGCCAAGTAGAAATAAAGAAAAAACAAATAAACATGTTAAATAAAGAAATAAAATTTAAAAGAATAGAAGAACAATTAGAAAGACAAAATATTAAGAAAATTATAAAAACATATGAAGAAAAAATAGAAAAAGAAATATGTGAATTAAACCCTACTGCGTTTTAGCATAGGAAAAAGTATACAATAGAATTACCATATATAAATAATTTTGATGAAAAACAAATACCTACAAAAGCTAGACCAATACAAATGAACAATGAATATTTAGAATATTGTAAAAAAGAAATACAAGAATATTTTGAAAAAGGATTAATAAGACCATCAAAATCACCCTAGAGTTGTACAGGGTTTTATGTAATGAAAGCCTCTGAAATAGAAAGAGGAGCACCTAGATTAGTTATTAATTATAAACCTTTAAATAAAGTATTAAAATGGATATGATATCCATTACCCAACAAAAATGATTTAATTAAAAGAGTGCATGATGCAACAATATTTTCTAAATTCGATTTAAAATCAGGATATTATCAAATATCAGTAAAAGAAGAAGATAAATATAAAACTGCTTTTGTAGTACCCTTTGGACATTACGAATGGAACGTAATGCCACAAGGATTAAAAAATGCACCTAGTGAATTTCAAAACATTATGAATGATATTCTTATTCCATATATAAAATTCTCAATAGTATATTTAGATGATATATTAATATTTTCAAAGAATATAATAGAACATATTAATCATTTAGATATATTTATAAGGATAATGAAAGAGAATGGTTTAGTAGTATCGACCAAGAAAATAAAAATATTTCAAACAAAAATAAGATTTTTAGGATATGAAATCTATCAAAATACTATAATACCCATACAGAGATCTCTAGAATTTGCAGAAAAATTCCCAAATGAAATTAAAGATAAAAAACAATTACAAAGATTTTTAGGATGTGTAAATTATATAGCAGAATTTATTCCCAATATTAGAATAATATGTTCTCCATTATTTAAAAGACTTAGGAAAAATCCGCCTTCATGGGATGAGAGTATGACCCAAGCCATAATAAAAGTAAAGGAATTAGTTAAAAGAATTCCTTGTTTAGGAATACCAGATCCACAAGCATTTCTAATAGTAGAGACCGATGCCTCAGAATTAGGGTATGGGGGAATTTTAAAACAAAAAATTCAAGAATCTTCTAAAGAACAAGTCGTCAGATATCATTCGGGGCATCCATCTCAACAAAAATATTAAACTGTCAAAAAAGAAATTTTATCAATTGTTTTATGTTTACAAAAATTTCAAGATGATATTTTTAACAAAAAGTTTTTAATCAGAACTGATTGTAAAGTTGCACCAAGTGTTTTAACCAAAGATGTTCAAAATTTAGTTTCTAAACATATTTTTGCCAGATGGCAAGCATTATTATCATGTTTTGATTTTGAAATAGAACATATAAAAGGTAAAGATAATTTTTTACCAGATTTTTTAACCAGGGAGTTTTTACAGGACAAAAGATCATGAGTGATAAGCCTTTGAGCAAAGATCAATATGGTCCCCCACTGGGGCCTGTAAAAACAGGTATGTCAATATCTCTAAGACCTAATAGTCCACAAGCTAAGGCTACTTTAGCAGAAATATTAAAAACTCCTCCGCCAATACTAAAAAGCCCTTTAGTCAATACTTCTAATCGTTATACACCATTACAATATTCCCATACACTTATAAGTCCAAAAGATCTTATCTCCTCCTCCTCTTCATCCCATCAAAATGTCCATAATCCTCAATGTAGACCCCAAATCTTGCCCGGGCTCCAAATAAGGTCAGAAGATCCCCTATTTTGAAGACGGCTGAAGCCTAACAAGCCACTAGGAGAGACTATTAGGCTCCCGTACCAAGATAGGAAGATTTTTTGGGCCGAAAAATAAGTTTTCTCGCCTCGAAGGGACGAGATCGCCTTCTGGATGACCCAGACCGCCGTTTCGCCTCGTGTAGCAAGCGAGACCGCCTTCTCGTCCAACGAGACCGGGGTCTCGTCTAACGAGACCGGGGTCTCGTTGCCTACGAAAACGAGACCGCGGTCTCGTTCACCCAAACCGGGGTCTCGTTGCCTACAAAAACGAGACGGCGGTCTCGTCCACCCAGACCGGGGTCTCGTTGCCAGTAAAGAACGAGACGGCGGTCTCGTTGGACGAGACGACGGTCTCGATCCTGTCAGACGAGACCGGCGGTCTCGCCATCTGACAGCGCGAAAACCTATAAATAGGGGCTCTCCCCCCCTCATTTTCACACACCATAGCTGCATAGCTCTCCCTTCTCTCTAAAACTTCTCTCTAGAATCCCTCCGACGCATTTCCAGAGTTTTCTGAGTGTTTTCAGGAGTGATTTTCGGCGTTCGAGAGGTTTCCGACGTCTTGTAGAGTGAAGGGCTGCCATAAAGCACCCTATTTTCCAAGAGAATTAATATAAAAAGCGTGCTTCGGAGGTTCAAATTCTCTCCTTCCACCTTTACCGCTTTTATTTTAAATTATGCAGTAGACAGTAGGGCCATGTAGTCATACTTTTAAATTCCGCAGAATAAAAAGGGCGAAAGTGTATTTTTCTAGTTTATCAATAAAATAAGTCGGCCTATCATAGGGAACCCGAAAGGGGCGTTGTAAAGGGACTAATACTCCCTTTGCACGTAACCAACTCCCTTACCCAACTCTGGTTCTAATGACCAAAGTTGGTTTTCGAAAACCAACGCCTTTTTAAAACCCCTTTTCCGGTGTTTATGGTAAAAATATCGGTGGCGACTCCATAGAACCCAAAATGAATAAGTCCTTGGGTTAGCCCGGTTGTCGGACAACTCAAGGACACTTTCCGAAAACCTCGTCTTTAGGTTAGCCCGGTTGTCGGACAACTTAAGGACGTTGTAACCACCAATAAAAACGCGAAAACAAGAGGGTCGATAAAACCATCGCGTCGCTCCGACCGCCTCATTTTTTACGGCGGCGACACTCAAATACCTTCTCAAACAGTAAACCTCTCAGATGAATATTACCTTAAACCTGAAACCTTATCAATAGTAACCTTGGAAAAATCCTGGATAAAATCAACTGCCAAAACTACTTCCCAACTTCTCTTCCCTAAAGAATTTTATTATTTTCCAACAAGTCTAACCAAAGACCGTACATTCTATGAGTTCATTCTAGTAGATACTGATTCTGCAGAAATTATCCATAAAATAAATGAGCAAGGCATTATTCAATATTCCAAACTAAAAATCCTAAAAATCCTTTCTGCCGAAGAATGGAATAACCTTCCTTATCACTTAAAAACCTTCTCCAGAACCTTTAATCCTCAGACATATGACTATTATGATTATATGGATGCTTGGTATAATGCACTATACGTGTATCCAGAAAATCATTTCTGGTTTATCTGGTTTAAAAAAGGAATTTCTCTAAAATTTCCCAAATGGTTCATCAAATGGTTCTCTCATATGGGACCTCTTCCTTCCATCTTTCCCTCTAAAGTCTTAGAAGTCTATAATTATTTTCGTCAAAAAACCTCTTTTGATCAGGGGTATAGATTAATTTCCTTCATAGCCACCCAATCAATAACCTGGATTGTAGCCTTCTCCTCACTAGTACAAAATAGGCTTTTAACATCGGTTCCCATGGGCTTTTAACATCGGTTCTAGAACTGATGTAGATATGACCGATGTAGAAAGTCTGACTTTCCACATCGGTTGTAAGGAACCGATGTAGAAAGTAATATTTTTATTTATTTTATTTATTCATAACCCCTCTCTAATTACCCTATCTATCCCTTTTATATTATATTTTTATTATTTATATTTTTTAGGAATTTGAATTATTATTGTCGGAGGTCGATACTCCAACCACTAAGCTACTGTAATTTTCTCGATAATAACTTACACATAAATTATATTTATATACAAATAAAAATGTATATCCATGTAAATATATAAATATAAAATATATAAATACAAATACAAATATATTTATATATTTATATGTTGGATGTGAGGACGCCGCTCGAGGATGAAAGTGTGTGTCGAATGAATTTTCAAAATTTGATGTCAAATTTGTGAGCGGGTTTCTTTATATGGATTATAACTTAATGACAAAATATAATCTTTATAATTTATTTATATAATGATATAAAATAATTTTTTTTCTTTATTTTATATCATTATATAAATTAATTATAAAGATTATATTCTATATTATTATAAATAAATTATAAAGATTATATTCTATCATTAAATTACAAATTCATATAAAGAGACTTGCTCATAAATTTGACATCAAATTTTGAAAACTCACTTGACACACACTTTCACTCTCGAGCGCTCTCACATCCAACATATAAATATATAAATATATTTGTATTTGTATTTATATATTTTATATTTATATATTTACATGGATATACATTTTTATTTGTATATAAATATAATTTATTTATAAGTTATTATCAGAAAATCTTAGTAGTTTAGTGGTTAAAGTATTAGTCTTTAATTCTAAGGTATTTGGTTCGAATCTTCACAAGAATAATTCCATTAATTTTATAAAAAGACTTTTTACATCGGTTCATGTGAAAAGACCGATGTTCTTCTTCTCCTTCTATCAAGTTCAGAAAACATCGGAGTTTGTGTTGTCATCAACTATGCTTCCACAACCTGCATTTATGTTTGTAATACATCTCCGATGTTCCATAAAAGAGGCCATCATGGCCATGAAGGAACATACCTCGTAATTGTTCAGAAAATCTGGACACATCTCATAAGCTATCAAGTTCAGAAACATCGGAGCTGTGTTGTCATCAACTATGATATCAGGAAGCATCAGTTCCGCACCCAACCATCCAACATGGAAAGAGATGTCTCCAAATATACGTGACTTGTTTCTCTTCACTCTAATCCCTGCCGCTTCCAGCTCTTGTATGTTCCTGTATATTATCCTGCTTAATACTGCATTTGTGCTCCGCTCCCCTCTCTCTCTTCTTCTGAATTTTTTGTGCTTTCTGCAGTTTTGAGGATCAGCAATGACAAGATTGCGAAGCAGATTAAGAAGATGAATAGGCGATTTCTGGTATCTTTGTTCTCCGCCTTCCATTCTAAAACCATAACATGTTCATATTAATAAAAAATTATATTTTTATTTTTTTGGAATATGTTTTGATGAAAACAAGAATTGTAATCGTTATCCTTGTTTATTGTATATTTTGTTTATATCTAAATTTGTAATTAAAAAGTATCAGCTCACTTAATTAGTACCTCTTTTAGTAATGCCAAACTTCTTTCATTATAAAATTAATTTTTTACCTTTCCAAAATAATAGTTCTTTTAATTTTCTAAGGTATATTTTCTCATCATAAATTTATATATCATTAAGAGTCGTTACTACGCTTTTCACTACGAATAATTTAAATATTTTGTATGTGAATTATTTTTTTTAATATATTATTTGAATAAATAATTTTATTTCTATGAATCTTACCAGTATAAAATATAAAAAAAGAGATTATTAGTAATGGTCATTTAAGAATCGTAGTTAAAAATAATATAAGTAAATTTTTTAATAATGGTTGAATTTTATCTGTTATGTATGATAGATATAATATGACCATTCTTACCTAATTGTTGAAACAACATAAAATTTAACAATGATTAGTGAAACCTTTCACATATATAATTAATAACTTGACTTTGACTCACCTTTCTCTATCAAGTCAATCAACATAGAATATGGAGAGAGAAAGACAAATTTAAGAAAGAAGATAATATACAACAATTTTAATTCTTATTTTTTATATAAAATTTAAAATTATTTTATTTAAAAAAACCAAATTATTTCTATAAATTGTTAGTATTTAAATTTTTTAAAAATGTTTTATCTAAACTACATCTTTAATATAAAGAATTTAAAATTCTATGTAAAAATAATTATATTATGTAAATTCTTAATCTAAGAATTTTTTTCTGGTTAGAAGTAATATATTATGTATTATGATTTAAATACTTATTAAATTATTCTACATAATATTAGTTAATTTTATGTTAGCACTTTATAAGATATTAGAGTCAAAGTTTAACTTTTTTAAATTATTATTGAGTAATATTAATTTTATGTTAACACTTTTATAAGATATTAGAGTCAAAGTTTAACTTTTTTAAATTATTATTGAGAGTCTCGTATCATCTGTTTCATATTATATGGTATTTAAATTATTTTACATATTACTAATTAATTTTATATTGAAATCTTATATTTGATAAGGTAAAATAATATATTCTATTTTGAATATTTATAATATATTTTGTTTCTAAATTGTCTTAATATTTAGTATATTTCCAAGGGAACACCACATCCCTAATTAAAGTCTAAATTTGTGACCTCAAAGCCATGAACTCAAATCTAGATCCACGATGTTATAGGTTTATCTTTGAATTTTATTAGTTGCCAATCATTGTAATCCTGATGATAAAGGAAACAATCATCACGAATTACCCAGGCATCGTTGGCTCCAAGGGACCAATTGCGGATTCGAATGACGAAAGCAACAGACCAGGAAATGCAATAACTACTAGAGAGTTAGGAGATCAATGTTTGGGATATATATATGTGTGAAGGGATTGCAGGACATGAGTTAGAGGAAGGGGTGTTGCTATTTAGGGCTTATGCGTGCAGTTAGGAGTGTGTGGTGGGTGGGTGTCTTGGCTTGTGCGTTGGTGAAGGGACTCACTCTCCGCAGTTTACCCTATAAGGACTTTACCGGGAGTCAAAAATCTGTCCATAATGGTAGAAATTTGTCAGAATTAAACGGACAAAAGTTTGTCCATAATATTATTGTCGGTAATATTACCGATGAATAATAACTCCAAAAATTTATCATCTTAATCCGTGTATATGAAAGTTTGCTTAAAATGATTTTTTTTCTTTTAAATTTTGAATATTAAAAAAAGAAATTGTAGAAAAATTCTTATGAAATATAAAAAGTTACAATAGAAAGTTGGAAAGGAAGTGTGTAGTGTGGGTTTTGATGCAATAGAATTAAGATTGAATAATTGGAAGTGAAGACACGATCGTCCTTCGTGGATAGTTGGAAGAAAACATTATGATAATACACAAAAACGGAGTAAGAAAATTAGTTTTAGGGATCAACCTAAACAAATTAGTTAAGAATGTTATAACACTACAAGAAATTTTGATATTACCGACGGTCAAAATCCGTCGGTAATAACAAAAATCCGTCGGTAATATCCATTTACCGACGGATTTTCGACGGCCAAAAATTCGTCCGAAATTTGATTATCGGTAAATATTACCGACGGTAATTACCAACGGATATATCCGTCGCTAAATGTTTGACGAAATTACCGACGGATAGGAATTCATCGGTAATATTTTTATTATTTATTAAATATTTTACTTATATAGATTATTTATTTTATAGAATAAATTTATTATTAATTACCCTTTATATTTTTATTATTTTTCCCTATTACATTTTTATAGGCTTCAATTATTATTGATTAAGAGAATTGTCATTGGCAGGATTCGAACCCAAGTACCTTAGAGTTAGAGGCTGATACTCCAACCACTAAGCTACTAGAATTTTTCGATAATAATTTACAAATAAATTATATTTATATACAAATATATTTATATATTTATATACAAATATATTTATATATTTATATATTTATATATTTATATATTTATATATTTATATATTTATATATTTATATATTTATATATAATTAAATATTTATTTTTTAAAATTATTTAATTTAAGAAATTATTATAAATTAATCTAATTATGATTAAATGAAATTATTAAATAAAAAATATTAAATTTTTTAATTAGTTGAATATTTACTAATTGATAATTTACTGAACGGAAATATCCGTCGATAATTTACGAGATGAATTTACCGATGGATTTACCGATCGGATATATCCGTCGGTAAATTTATCTCATCAATTACCGACGGATTTATCGACGGATATATCCGTCGGTAACTAATTATTATTTTACCGACGGATATATCCGTCTGGTAAGATCAAATTTCACAAATATTTTATATCCGTCGGTAATTTCCGTCGGTAATAATTATTTTCCGACGGATACAAATCCGTCGGTAAATATCCGTCTGATATACGTGATTTTTTTGTAGTGTAATATATTAATTTTAGATATCACTTCATTTGGATAAAAGAAAGATTTTAAATGAAAAGGTGAACATTAAGTCAATTAGTTTGTCTTAGAAAAAAAAAATGTATTGCTTGAATTTATTGATGTTGATTTGGTGAAAGTAGTCATGATGTAAAAAAAGTTATAAGGTAAAGATTTGTAAAATATGTTGTAGATTTATTATGATAAAATGAGTTAAGTTCGGTGAATCAACCCGTTACCTCGCTTAAAAAAATATAGACGAAGGTTGGTGAATTTAGTCAATCAATCCGTTTTAATTCATCTCACTTAACTCACTAAGGTAGGTTAGAAGTGAGATGATTCACTAATCTATTTTGATAAATATTTATATATTAAAATTAAAATAAATAATAAATAATTAAAAATTATATTTTTTGTTATGATATTAAAATATATAAATATTTTATAATATTATAGTTTAAATTATAAAAATTAATTAATATTAGTTATTTTAATACATAAATATAATAATTGTTTCAATTCATTTAATAAAAATATTAACTAATAAATAAAAATTTAAAAATTATTTATATAATTAAAAATATATTTTTAAAAAATACATATAAAAATTCATTTACGATTGATCCACCAATCAATCTACCTTTTATCAGAGCATAGCATGTAGCACATTCTAATTATGATAAATTAATTTATCTATTCCATTTTTTCGGGTTAAAAGCTAGCCGGTGGCTTCACCGTCATTATTCTCTTCAATAGATCACCATTCTCGTCGTGTGTCAGGAGTCTAAGCAGAAAATAGGGAAGCTGATTCTCTAACAAGAGCACATCCTGCCACAGAAGAACCAGTTGGTCAACCTTAACATTCATTTCTTGAGAATAAACAAGGTCTCCTCCCTTGTCCAAAATTTGTAGGAGAGAACATCCATCCACAAGTAGCATCCACGAGAGCTCGTAGTGATCAGGGAAGTGTCTAATGGCATCTTCAGCAAACAGTTCTACCAATTGTGTGATATTCGATATAATCTTTTGGAACAGAGCTTTAGCATCTTGGTTGGTGCTTTCAAGGTACCTTGCTGCCCACATAAGCTTGTATTTTTCTCCCATCGCCAGGTCCGGATCACCATGATGGATTGGACCAATTGAACAAACCTGGGTGAGTAAAACTTCGCAAAATGGGCTCGACGTCGGAGATAATATACTACCTTTTGTATTTTTGGAACTGTATTCTGTGGTATTTCCTTTGCGTTTTCCAGTTGGCTAAACTTCTCATTCATGTACAAGTAGCATGACTCTGTCACGCGGTCTCCCTCTCCCCCTCCCTCTCTGTGCAGCATTCTCTCTTTCTTTCTCTCCACCGCTACTAATAAATGAAGGATTGATGGTATTACGAGGCTTCTTCATCATAAAACGCTTCACCTTACTGTTTATATAGTCCACATAAGGAGCACAAGAATCACTCTCGTGACGCACAATTTGAATTAACAAATCACATTCAAGAATATTGATATTAATTACAAGATAAAATTACATATATAAATAATAAATAAATAAAAAAGATTCACACACCCAATATCTTCATATTTTAAATTAAAGTGATTTTTTTTTATTTGTAACCCTTTTTAACTTGTACTCATCTGGATATTTTAAAATATAAAAATTTAAAAATACCTTCATATTAATAGACTAATTGTCTTCACTACACTCAATTAACTAATCGACTAACATTAATGAATCTGCTTCTCATTGTTATAGTAACGTTAAATTTTATTCAATTTATATATTTGTTCTAAAATTAACTCTACATTGATAAGAAACCCATTTTATTGTTTAAAAATTTCTTTTAATCTCTTTTATCATTAATATATATATATATATATATATATATATATATATATATATTAATTTTTATTTGTCATATATATGAATAGTCAAATGTAATTTCTTAATATATTTGTTTTCTGAGACAAAATTGGACTATAAAAAATTGTAAAACATTAATGCATGTTCTACTTATTATTATTTATTGAAGTAAAAAAAGGTCGCATGATGAAAGATATTCTGCAAAATAAAATAATTAAGAAGAACAGAAGAAGTAAATATTATTCTTTAGTTACCAAGAAGTAATACGATATGCCTTTAGCTTTGTTATTGTTTGAAGCTTGGAATGAATACTGCAGAGAATTTGCGTGAAAAGGCACTTCAATGAGAGAGTACTTGGTTTATTTTTCTTTGCTAAATTTTGAAGTCTGAATAGATTCGTCGTGAAAAGCGATTCATTGAAAAAGAAAGGTATTTTACAATCATATTTTAGATAAATGACTAATATTTTAAACTCCTACAAAATATACGCATTTATTTAAATTATATGCTTTCATATTTACATTTAGCATTTATTGAAAAATATGTATATTAATTTTAAAATATTTAGTAATATATTAAACGGAATTATATTAAAAAAAAAACTTAGGGAAATTTTATATTACACTACAAGAAAAAAGCCTATTACCTACGGAATATTACCTACGGGTAAAAATCCGTAGGTAAATTTTACATTACCTACGGATTTTACCTACAAAAGTATATTCGTACATAAATTATCTATTACCTACGGAATTTACCTACGGATGGGATGATTATGCATTACCTACGTGATGTAGGAGGTAGGTAATGTTTTTTTACTACTTTACCTACTCATTTACCTACGGATGTTAAATAAAAAAAAAAGAAAAAAAGAAAAAACCCTCGCTCACTAGTGGAAAATAGCTTTCTATGATGGCTTTTTATCACGGCCGTAGTCCACCCGTCATAGTATGTGGCGCGGTGGCATGTATGTAATAAAATCATAAACTTTCTATGTCGGGTAAGTTTTAACCGACATAGTAAGTGGAAAGGTCACTTTACTTTCTACGTCTGTTAAGATTTACCCGACATAGAAAGTAAACTTTCTATGTCTGGTAACATTTAACCGACATAGAAAGTGAACTTTCTATGTCTGTAAAATTTAACCGACATAGAAAGTGTCTTTGATGACTGGTGTTAGAGCAACCGACATAGTATCTTCTGTTTTAACCTTCTCCTTCCCTCCATTTCATTTCATCACTTCCCCCATAGCAGAGCTCCCCGTACGTTTCTCCCTACGCTCCATTTCTTTTCATCAGCTTCACCCATAGCGAGCTCCCCGTTCGCCCGTGTACGTTTCTCCGCACCCACATTTGCTCGTCATGCCACCCGCCAACGCTTCGTGCCGCCCGCCGCTACCGGTGCCCGTCGCCCGGGATACGTTTCTCCCCACCCAGCTCCGCACGTCACGCCACCTGCCACCTCCGTAGGTCTTCAAGAGGTAAGTTTTCGTGCTTGCTTTAGCCATTGTATGTTTACAGTATTGAATCTAGTAAGTAATAATGCTGTCAAGAGAGGGAAACATCACGGGTCCCTTTAGCTAATTTAGAGATGTATTGTAAGTAGTTTAGTCATTTGAATGTGTTTCTGTAGGCATTTGAATGTGTTTCGTGATTTTGATTTTGAAAATTAGATTTGTATTATAATGTAATTATTTTGAGAGTGGAGTTGGATTTCGTGTAGGCATTATAATGTAGTTATTTCGTGTTTCTGTAGCTAATTTGATTTTGAAAACCCATGTATACTTCTGATGAGAATGATGATTTAGTACTTGATATACCGAGACACCATGTTTCTCTTCAAATATGCCAAACTTGAGTGTTAATGTAGAAATAGATGATGTGCATGCCATACGTTATGACCATATGGAAGGATTTTGGGAGAATGTTCCAACTTGATAATGTATGAAATTTTTTTAATGTATTATTTTTTAATGTATGCACTTTTTTGTTTATCTTCAGTCATATTGTCTAAACTAATAACTATTATTTTTTTCTTTGAACACAGATATGGCAGATTCATCTGGTTCCCCTCCTCCTACACAGTCCCCCTCCTACGTAAGGTGGTGATCGTAGTCGACCGTCTACCAGGAAAAGGGTAGGCGTGGTACACGGTTGAAGGAGTTGAATATCGACCGTAGCTCCGATCGGAAATTGTCTATCCAGCTTTGACATGCAAACCGGTAGAGCCATTGGAGAGCACAGTGCTAGATTCACTAGCTATGTGGCCTTGCTTGGGAGAAGCAAGGTTAGTATTCTTATTGAGGATTGGGACCATGTTCCAGAGACACTGAAGAACCAGATTTGGCAGAGTATCCTGGTACCTACTCTTATTTGGCATTTAACATGTTTATATATATTTAACTTTTTGGGAACTTCATGTTATTTTTATTGTGTAGGTCACATATGATGTCCCTAACACCACTTTGTTCAGGAGAAAGTGGATCTCATATGCCGGGGAACGCTGGAGAGGTTTTAAGAGTGATCTCGACTAGCCGATACATATATGGGGCATTGAGCAACAAGAACCCATGTGACCAAGTATCGCTTTTGGATGAGGAGACATGGCAGGTATTTCTGACTCAGCCGCTTAGACGCTAAGTTTCGGGTTAGCACATTTGTCATTTGTTTGCAGTCATTTTTTTTAAATAGAGGTTTTAAATCCGGTATTTAACATGGAATGCAACAGGCCAAGCTGCAGAAGGCACAAGATATTCAGAGAAAGAATATCCACCCCCACAGGTTGTCTCGTGGGGGTTATGAGAAATTGGAGGAGAAGATGATGAAGGAGACATCTTCAAGTCATCTTTCAGATGAGTCGGTTGTGAGTGTTGTCACTCGCCCTTCACGCCATGATAAATGGAAGAGAGCTCGCCATAACTCATCGGGAATTACTTATCCGAGCAAACTAATGTTGTTGCTCAACGTATTGTAAGTAGCATATCCTAAACTAATTATATATGTTATACTACAATAGGCATTTGTATTTGCTAAAAAATCATTCGTTTGTGTTGTAGGATGAGTTGGTTGAGCAGAGCACTCAGTGGATCATTCCACCCACATGGCCGTCAGGATATATTGGCAAGTGGCCATTGGTACCCTGAGCATCCCGGACGTGTTCGTGGTGCCGGACGAGGGGTGGGCATCGACAAGACTTTGGTGCCCCACCCGTGGCAACTCCTTCTTTGAGGCAGACTGAATGAGCAAGAGTTTGAGTCCCTCAAACAACAAATTAGGAAGGAGATACGAGATGAGGTGTACTCGACTTGAAGGCAGAGTTATTGAGCTCAATGCGAGCAGAGTTGGCATCTTTGTCCTCTCAACCTTCTCGTCCCCGCACGAGAGGCATCCCCGATTCATGTCGAAGACAAAGGAGAGTTGTGATGCTCCCGATAGAGGGGCACAGGTTGCTCCTACCGACACCGCTGACCGTCAGCTTGTATGTTGCGGGTCCTCCCGAGCATTTGGTGGCATACGGTACATATTATATCTTTGACATGTATTTGGTACAGTTGTTAAGCATTATATAGTCTAAAATATTTTATCCTTTGTTTACCTTAGGGAAAATGTATGCATTGGGGTCAACCATCCACCACCGGAGTATTGGAGATGATATGATAAGAGTGGTGGTTGTAGATGTCCAGGATGCCGTCGCCCCAATCCCTATTCCCACCGACGAGGTTCAAACAAGTGGACAGTGCACCTGGCCATTTTATCTTATGGCCAGCTTCATTAACAAGACCCATCCCAACAACTGCACAGTGTTGATTTATGCATTGAACGATAGTACTTATTATTTTTTGATAGGTTGATGTATATTAATGTTATTGATTTTTGGTACTTGTATAGAAAGAGTCTGAAAAAGCAAAGGAAGTTGTGCATGAATCACCACCACCACCATCTCGCTTTACAACGACTCGGTAGCACCGGCAACGACTATCTGGACCACTCCCATACAGTTAGATATGCCACCCGAAGTCGTATGCAGGACCAACACGATCCCTTTTTTCTTACTCCAAAGGGATATTTTTGATCTTCTCGCTGGTACTGATATGTTATGTGTATCAGTGTTGCAGCTTTGGGAAATGTAAGTATATTTACATATTTTTTATATTCTCACTGGTACATTATTTTATAACTTTATTTATTTTCAATGTTGAAGGTATTTATATCGTTTGTGTGTTGAGAGAAAGATCCGCTTTCTCT